ATGTAGACGATATGTTGATCATGGGGAGTAGCCATGACGTGATCATGGATACGAAACGAATTTTGAAAATAAATTTCGACATGAAAGATATGGGTTTAGCTGATGTAATTCTTGGAATAAGAATTATCAGAACCCAAGATGGAATTGTCTTGTCACAATCTCATTACGTAGAGAAAGTGCTCAAGAAATTTAATGCCTATGAAGGTCCTCTGTCTAGGACACCCCTTGATCTTAGCGTAAATCTGGAAGCCAATAAAGGTCAACCAGTTGCTCAATTGGAATATTCACGGATAATAGGGAGTCTAATGTACTTGACGAACTGTACGCGACCAGACTTGGCCTATCCGGTGAATAAGTTGAGTAGATTTACTAGCAATCCCAGTCGTGAGCACTGGAATGCTTTGAAAAGGTTACTGAAGTACTTAAAGTACACCCTTGAATACGGGCTAAAATACTCGAGATATCCAGCAGTACTTGAAGGATATTGTGATGTAAGTTGGATATCGGATTCGGGAGATTCTCACTCCACAAGTGGATATGTCTTCTGTATCGGAGGAAGAGCTGTTTCGTGGAAGTCCACAAAACAAACTTGTATAGCTCGGTCAACCATGGAGTCGGAGTTCATGGTGAAGAAGCCGAGTGGCTTCGAAACTTTTTATCCGATATTCCATATTGGAATAAACCTTTGCCGCCTGTGATGATTCACTGTGATAGCCAAGCTGCTATAGGAAGGGCGCAAAGTAGCATGTACAATGGTAAGTCTAGACATATTCGTCGTAGACATAATACCGTTCGCCAATTGATTACAAATGGTATTATTTCCATTGACTACGTAAAGTCTAAGTAAAATTTGGCTGATCCTTTTACTAAAGGATTGAATAGAGATCAATTGGGAATACTGCTAGAGGGAATGGGATTAAAAATCCACAATGAAAAGAATGATCATAGTGGGAACCCTACCTTGCTGAATGGAGATCCCATAAACTTGGTTCAAGGGGAAAACTAAACTATGAAAATTCAGCGGAGCACTTGGAACATTAGAGTGTCCAAATATATTCCCTAAAAGCAATCCAAGTGCAAGATTACATATTGATTGTGGTGAGGGTAAGTCATCTGGACTTCTAATGAATCCCTAACCTTTTTAAAGGTGAAGTAATACATGATACTTTTGACAGGGAGGTCACCTATATAAGTGTGAAGTGAGGGCCGCTTCAATTGTAAACACTTATGAATCCAAAGTGTTGTCCATGGCCAAAACGGACACAACAATAGAACGAAATGGAGTTAAGGCTCTATTGTGTGAATGTCATTGTCTTGGTGTACACTATGGAGGAATAGTTCAAGGCACTATGTCCACTAAGTCGCTAGTACATCCGATGATGTTTACTAAGAAAGGTTCAAAGCCACAAGCTACCCTTTCGAATGCAATAAAGTCTTATGAGGATTGAGCACAAGAGTCTGCATACATACATACATTTGATTTCCACTCATGTGGGGGATTGTTGGAAAATCAGTAATATAAAATTGGGTATGACCCGATTTTGACTGATTTGTTGATGACTAAATATTTAATTCGAATTGAATTAAATTGTGTAGAATAAATTCTACGTTCCGAGTAGAAAAACTCGTGGTATATTTAATTTCTCAATACTGATTTTCGGTGAGTGAGAAATAAATGTTAGCCATAAATGGGCACGCAGAACGTTGGTTGTGAGATTCGAATGGTCAAATGTCTTATCCCACATAGAACTCTTAAATGAGAGTAACTCTTTATATTATGATAAAGAGAGTTGGAGAGGTCACAACAATAACAAAGTTATGTACCAAATGTTGGTATATAAACCGAGTTGATTTTGGACTCGGGTTTCGACACAACCCGTGTGACATCGTTCCAAGTACATTGAACCTGGACGTGTGACCTTTCAACCACATAACGGTTTCAAGAGTTATGAGGTGATTAATGGTGAGTTAAACACCATAATGTTGCCTATTTATAAGGTTGATTAATAGTGAGTTAAACACCATTATGTTGCCCATTTATAAAGGTAATTAAAGGTGAATTAATCACCATAATGTAGCAATTATAAGATGGATTGAATGCCATTAATGGCTAGGATGACCACCAAACTTCTCCCACTTGTGATGGAAGTCCTATAAATAGGACATAGAGTTGTAGAGGAAAGGAGAAAGAACGAGACACGAAAAATCTCATATGCATTCTCAACTCTCTCATATATCATAGCCTCACGCATACATAGTGCTCAGTTATCGTCTCTATTCCTGTTCGCTGGAACTCTGAAGACTGGTGTGCTACAGCTTCCGAGTGTATAGCGTTGTATCTTTGGGGACATTACGCACAGACCCGTCAGCACTATACGGGGCGTATTTGTCTTGCGGAAAGATTTCAATCGTCTCGGCTTTAATTTGTCCGCATTCGAGTTGTATTTTACATTTCTTGTTTAGTTCATATTATACGAACTGAACTCTTCAATCAGTTCATAGGTTCCCGTTGTAATTCAAACACTACATTGTGTAACAGAGAGCTCGAGCCTCAACGGGTCGAGCCAATATTAACTAAATGAGCAAGCATTGAAGTTTGCACTCTGCTCGTTTAACGATATTAACGAGCTGAATATTCTTTTATTTCGAGCTTTGACAAACCTTATCGAGCCGACTCTTTAACTAAACGAGCTCAAACGCTGCCATGTTTGTCAGACGAATAGAGCTGAGCTCACGAGCATCTCGTTCAATTAGCAACTCTAATTGTGTGTGATTTATAATTGAAAATTAATGTATGTTCAAAACAAGTGGAACAAAAACTAATGTCTGTCCTTATTAGTACAGCTAATTATATACCCTTAATTAATTTCTATAGTTGAGCAAGCACGTTATATCATGCAGTTTCCTCTTAGGGCTTCTCCAATGGTTAGCTATTTGGCTAACTATTATGACGTGGACATGTAAAAAGTAAGAGAGAGAGTAGCCACTAGCTACTAACAAATAGCTTATCTATTTCACGTAGCCCAAGATCATGTGAGAGGAGTACATGAGTCCAATAGTGTAAAATAATTATTTTTCTTATCTCTCACATCCACGTCAGCTAACTATATAGCTAGTAATAGCTATTACCATTGGAGATGCCCTTAATTAAGTCTGCTTTTGATTTAGAGTTGAAGTGTGAATTAATCCCAATCAACACGTGAAAATCCAACATACAGATTCTTTTTAAGGTTCTTGAGAATATTAATTTTCTCGATTTAATTCATTTTTCATTTTATACATACAAATTAATAATAGTTTAATTATATTGATCTGAAGAACCCTATGTTTTTTTATTAATTTATAGAATAATTCCACGTAGTTGGATGAAAATTGATATTTTTCTTGATATAAGAGAAATTATTTTACGAAAAGTATGTTTCTGAACGAGTTATTAATCTCTTATAAATAAAATATACTTATATCTACTTAATTTCTATCACTTTTTTATGGTTCGACACAATCGAAATGAGATGATTTCAACGAAAAATTTTTTTGGGCACTTTTTATATCAACATATAATGTGCAAAACCATCAATTATTGAGAAGATTATTCTAAATCAAGTTGAACTCTAAATATATAATTAAAAAAAAGACCTGCATATATGAACTGAGTTGACTCTCTGTAGAGGTGAAGTGTCACATTCTTGGTTAGTTGACCTTGATATGTGTTTCGAAATCAGAAATTATTAATTTTTTTTTTTTAGATTCTGAAAGGGCTCCCAAAACAAAAAATAATAGGTAATTGAAATTAAGAAAAATTAACCTCATCTACCCAATAATATACTTCTATTGACCTTGGTCTTTGGTTATATATGATACGCAAAACACATTTAATAAACAAATATATGTCATATCATGAAGTCCTCAGATTATGAAGAATAATTTTTTTATATTTTTTTTTCCTTCATCCTTCTCCTCTTGCACACGAGTCAATTATGCGCTTGAGTCAAAGTTCGACTCGTGCTTGAGTTTTATTGACCTTGAGTACCTCAGACTCGAGCTTATATTTTGTTAGTTCTATATGAGGTGTACATATAATTACCTTATTACTCTGAAGTGAAGTTAATAAAATTCGGTTAAGAATTAACAAAATTTCTTCTTAACTTCGACATGATGAAATTTGAACTAAATTCCGAGCATTTGTATAATATGTCAGAGTCATAACGATTTTGGTTTGTCGTCTCGAGTTCGAGCACCAATTCAAAAAGTCAATTTCAATTGATCAATAGAAGCATTGCTCGACTCGACTCAGCTCAAGCTTGAGCACTACTTAAAAAAGTCGCGTTCAACTTGATAACAGCATTGCTCTACTCGACTCAGTTTGAACACCGATCTAAAAAGTTGAGTTCAATACTTCAATTCGACAAATATATTATTTGACTCTACTCGGCTCGACTCAACTAGACTCCACTCGGCTGGTCGGCATCCATATCCATATCGAAAGCTTCTAGCCAAAGCTACTTTTAATTTTACCTTCCCCTCTTGTATATCTTTGCCTTCAATTTTACTCTTCCTTCTTACCGCAACCATAATTTCTCAACTAATATGTTTGACATTAATAATAATAATACCAAAATATTGCAGAATCTTGTACTATATTTTTCCTATTTTTAAATATTAGTAAACGCGTGAACTCAATTTTTAATACCAACTAGCTAGCTAGTCTTCCTTAATTAGTTATAAGGTAGCTGCATTATTATTATTATTATTATTATTATTATTATTATTATTATTATTATTATTATTATTATTATTATTATTATTACTATTATTATTATTATTATTATTATTATTATTTTCTGCATTAAAAACATCATAGACCACCAGTCTTCAATTCACTTCATCACCCCTCTTTTCAATACACACCTATATACAGAAAAATTTCCTCTAATATCATTTTCTTGATCAATTATCAAGTAGATTAATCTTGAAATTAGGTGATCATATATATCACCACCATGTTGTTGTTATCAAGGCTTAATGTTGCAATATTCATTTGTTTTGTGGGATTTGTTTCTGGGCAACCCATCCTTCCACCTGATGAAGGTACAATTCATATTTGACTCTAACCAAAATATTAGTTCTTTAATTAATTGATTATATTATTATTATTATTTTGTAATTTTGCAATTTTTTTTTTTTTTTTTGGGTATGAAAGTTTGAGTAGTTTATTTATTGTTATACTTACTTTTTCATATAAATTTTGAACTCCCTCAACATATTTCTACTTAAATACAAGTACATTCTTGAGAAGGCTTGATTAGTTATGATTGTTGTTGTGTAGTCATCGAGTTTTTTTTTTTTAAGTTAGATCAACACAAACTATTATAAATTACAAATAAAATATGTGAAGTTATCTAGTTTTTTACCGGTCAACACAAACAATTACAAATGAAATCCGGATAGTCATCGAGTTTTTTTAACGTTAGGTCAACATAAACTATTACAGTGAAATTCTTAGTCATTGAGTTTTTTTTACCGTTAGATCAACAAACTCAACACAAACTATTACGAATGAAATTCGTACGACAGTCATTGGGTAATTCTTGGACATATTAGGGTTTGTTTATTTTTTCTTTTGATTTTTATTTTTGTGTTTTTATTTGAATTGTTGCAGTGGAGTCATTGAGGGTGGTAGCAAATGTCATGGGGAAAAGTGATTGGAATTTCAGTGTGGATCCATGTAGCGGGTTATCGGGTTGGGTGACCCAAAACCCGGTCAAAGGGTTTGAAAATGCTCTCACTTGTGACTGTACCTTTGAAAACAACACAGTTTGCCATGTTGTCAGCATGTAAGTAATAATAAACTACTCCCTTTTATTTTTTTTTAAATGTCATTATAGTTTTATCAACTATTTGCTAAATAAATGTCGTTTTGGATCTTTTGTACATATTTTTCTATTATTACCTTCATTTAGCTAATAAATACATTACGTCTTTTCATATTCACTCTTCATTTTTTCTCAAAACATTCATCTCTATTTTCATTAAATAGGGGTATTATTGACAAAAAAAAATATTCTTAATTAATGTGCAACTTCTCAAAACGACATCTATTAAAAATAAGAGATAGTAATACTTAAAAAAAAAACTAATACTTTTATAAATTTGTACCAAAAAAAAAATAATGATTAACCAAAACAACGGGAGGCATCAAAATTTTGGGAAATGCTTTATGGAACCCCTCCGTCGAAGTTTGTAATCGTTTGATTATTTTATAACTGTCAGAGATAGTTGATCTAACAGTTACATATCCCGGTATAATGATGTCGTAACGTGACCGTAGTTTTATAACCGTCAGAGATAGTTGATCTAATGGTTACATATCCCGATATAATGATTTCGTAACGGGATCGTACTTATATGCAAGGTGACTCATCAATCATCACTTCAACTTTGAATGCAGAATTCTCAAGGCCCAGAATCTAAACGGGTCGGTCCCAAGAGAGCTAACCACACTCCCTTTCCTCCGAGAGATGTAAAGTTTGTACCTTCTCACAAATTCACACACACGCACTTGAAGAACTGTTACTATTCTTTTTCCTTTTAGAAGAAGAAGAAAAAAAAATTGATTTTTTGCCTTCCAAAATTTCAATTTCACACTCAGTGACCTGACCCGGAACTTCCTCAACGGCACCATCCCGCCGGAATGGGGCTCCATGAATCTTGTGAACATGTACGTCATCATCTCTTGTTTGTGTATGTATGTGTATCTATGCACAGTTGTGTTTGTGGGTTTTGTTTGAATTTTATGAATTATGGCTGTGTGTGTGTGTGTATTTGCTGCCATTTGGATTCTTGGGTGAACTTAATAAACAGAGACGATTAGTAAGGGCTTGTTTTTCTTATATTCAGAAAATAATAGTTCAATCTTTATTTGAAAATGTTCGAGCTCGAATGCTGTTTTTAGGAGTCTTCTTCGGCTTTTATGTTGATTTCGAGCTGGAATAAGATTTAAGCCTAGCCAAATCTGAGAGTTTTAAGCTGCATATCATTTGATTATTAGCCTAATGAGAGCTATGTTAGGCAAGGGCAAAACAATGACTAGAAGTGAGTGGCTTGTGTGTGTGTGTGTGTGTGTGTGTGTGTGTGTGTTTGTGTGTGTAACTCTTTAATTATTTTTCGTAATAATCAAGTTGAAACGAGGCGAGATTCGTATTTCATCGATAACATCCGATCGACAATTATGTTCTACCCAAGTCGAAACAACCTTCTACCAGTCAATCTCGCATCTCAACTAATTTGGTTTGTTTACTATGTTTGTGGCCTTGAAGTCGAATTTACCAACCGATAAGTAATGGTTGTCTTAATTGCAGCTCTCTTATTGGGAACCGAGTGACAGGTTCAATTCCAATAGAACTTGCCAACATCTCCACACTTGCAAATCTGTAAATTTTCTTGTGCTTCCAATTTGTGTTTTCTTTGTATTATTATTTTGTTGATGAAAATTATTCATGTTTATTTATTTATTTCTTTATTTTTTGGAATAATTCTGAAGGACCCTGGAGTACAATCAGTTGTCTGGAACTATACCTCCGGCGCTTGGGCATCTTCCTCGAATAGAGAGATTGTAAGGCTCTTGTCTACAGACATTTTGAGGGTACTTTGATATGAAGCTAATTGAGTTTGAATGTGATTATTTCTTAATGTCTTTTATCTGAAGACTATTTACCTCAAACAATTTAACCGGGGAGCTACCAGAAAGTCTTGCAAGATTAAGCACATTGAAAGACTTGTAAGCTATTTTTCATTTATGTCATGTTTTGCTTATTAATATCTTACTTCTAGATTAAGATATGAATAAATTACATATGTTTTTGATGCAGTCGTATTAGTGATAACAACTTCAGTGGAAGCATACCGAGTTTTATCCAGAACTGGACAAATATCGAAAAATTGTAAGCGCTTTTATTTATTTATTTATTTATTTTTTTCTTTGTTGTTCTCTCATATATGTTTAGCCCTTTTATGTAATTTGACTATTTTCCTTTCTCTTGTGTGAATGCTGAATATGAATTTCGATAATGTTCAGAGTGGCTCAGGGTAGTGGTTTGGCCGGGCCAATCCCGGCTGGCATTGCTTCCTTAACCAGATTGACAGACTTGTGAGTCAACGTTATATGATGTATTTTCTAGTGAACTAAAAAACATCGCGCAGAGATATTGTCTAGTTACAAAAATCTCAGTTCTCTTTCTAAATTACAAATGACCACTTAATATTTGTTTTTACTTTACCATTTGAACCTCAAGAGGGAATAGAATATTTTTAGTATTTAAAGATGACCAGATTTTTCTGTAATTAGGCTAAACCACCTGACGACATTTGTATTTTTCCTCATATTCTTTGAGCTCGAAAAAAAAATAAAAATTTTATAATTATATATAGTTGTGTTACACTTGTGATTCCAAAACGTGCAGGAGAATCAGTGACTTGACAGGGAACATTTCGACTTTCCCGCCTCTTAGTAATATAACAAGGCTAAGGACATTGTGAGTATGAGTATTTTTATTTGCTCTTGTCATAAAAACGAACACTCACATTTTTCGTAAGTAAACTAGTGGAGTAATTTTATTTATTTATTAGTTGTGCAGGATATTGAGGAGTTGCAATATTGTTGGGGAGTTACCGAGTTATCTTGGAGAAATGACTGGTTTGAAAGTCTTGTTAGTCTATCGATTTTCCACCTACTTAATTTTTACTGTACTATTTATGTTGTAGCAAGTGAAGGAACTATCGATTTTTGTGTTTTCTCTATACATGAGCACTTACTTAAATGGCTGTTGCGTTCTTTACCGCAATTTACTATAGTAGGGTCTTTGATCTGTAATTTTTGTATTTATTTATTTATTTATTTATTTATCTATTTCTATTTGCAGAGATCTGAGTTTCAACAGATTAAGCGGCCGGATTCCTGACAGCTTTACTGGTCTATCTAACACAGATTACATGTAAGTTTTATTGTTGACAAGCTGTAAATAACTTAAAAACTGTCTCAACCGGATTTCTCAAATAACTTTGAATTATCGCCACTTTAACTCTGACAACTTGAGAGATTAAATAAAGTGTTTTAGGAGGGTAATTCAAATTTCTAATCTCCAGATATATAGCGGGGAATTCGCTGACCGGGACACTGCCAGCTTGGATGCTGACTGACGGTGACAACATGTAAAAGTTCTCTCACTATTCTTTTAGGTCCCTCAGTCGCCTCATTTTATAATCTGAACCTTTTCAATCTCTGTGCAGTGACTTATCTTACAACAACCTCTCGTCTGGAAGCTCGGCTCCAAATTGTCAGCCTCGTAACCTGTGCGATTATTCGCTCTTATCTTCAAGTGCATTTTGCTTCTTTTTTTTTCCTTGTCTATTCCCTTGCTTGATCGAAATATTTACTTTTTTTTTTTTATTATTTCAGGAACTTATTTGCAAGCTCAAAAGAAAACAATACGTGAGTTTCCAATGTTTTATGTTCATAAAATCTTGTGCTTTTGTGAGCCATTGATATGAGATGTAAATTAAATTTAATATTACATTCTTTTCGCAGAGGTATTGTTTCCTGCTTAAAAAGCGCTTCCCGGTGTGACCGAGGTAAGTGATGAATTCATTATTTACTTAGTTACTTACAAATCACAATCAGTTGTTTACTTACCAAAATGTTTTTTTTTTCCTTTTTTTTTTCCAGAGTACTACTCCCTCTACATTAACTGCGGCGGACGGCGTGTAGTGGATAATCGAAACACTATTCACGAAGAGGATTCGAATTCCGGTGGGCCCTCGAATTTCTTTCTGAGCAGGACAAACTGGGGATTTAGCAGCACGGGCCATTTCTTGGACGATGATCGGCCGAGGGACTCGTTTATATGGTCAAACAGCTCGGTTATGACAGGAGAGAATCCCGAGCTGTACATGGATGCACGCCTTTCCCCGCTCTCGTTGACTTATTATGGGTTCTGTTTGAGAAATGGAAATTACACTGTTACCCTTCACTTTGCCGAGATCATTTTTACGAACGACCGGACTTATGGTAGCCTCGGGCGGCGTTTGTTCGATGTCTACATTCAGGTAGTTATGTGAAACCAAGAACTTTGCTTCTCAATTGATTTAATTTTCATTTTCTTTTTTTTTTATATACTTATAGTCTGTACTTTGCAATGAAAGAAGTGAAGAACTGCAACAAAAGAAGTGAATATTTGCAAATCACTATGGTTTATATTTCACGATACGAGAAGTAAACATGGCATTTTGCAATAAAAGAAGTGAAAATTAGTAAAATTATGAAAATTAGTTAATAAAAATATAGAACTCTAAAAGAAATCATAATCTAATATTTTTGTTATGCATTTAGCATTGATATTATTCATTGTTATCCAAAGATGAACGAGTAAGTTTGGTAGGTATAAGAAGCAAGCACGATGGATAGAGTTGAAAGTTGTTTATTCAAAAAAAAAAAATGTTTGTCCTGATTATGAAGCGCAGATAGTTTTACTCAATATTATCAAATCACTAATACTCAACAATAGCTGATTCTTCAAAAGATTGACATGAATGAAAACTTGTACTAATTTGTGAATAATAATGTGTATGCAAACAGCTCAGATATGACACGAACTAAACTTATACTAAATTGGTTAATGTTTTGTTCCTTCTTAAACGAACTTTATTCAGGGTAGGCTGGTGCTGAAAGATTTCGACATTGAAAGAGAAGCAGGTGGAGTTAACAGACCAATTGCAAGAAACTTTACTGCAGTTGTTAATGATACTACTTTGGATATTCGCTTCTATTGGGCTGGTAAAGGGACAAATGGTATTCCTGTTCGAGGCGTATATGGTCCTCTTATTTCGGCCATATCTGTCAATCCTAGTAAGTTGAAAGTTCTACTTTGGATTAAAGTGGCTCGCAAAACTTCCCCTCTTGATAATTTTAGCTAAATGCTTTTTTTTTTTTTTTTGGTTTCTATAAAATTTATTCAGATTATAAACCGCCATTGGAAAATGGAAGCAGCAGCATATCGGGAGGTTCTATAGCCGGTATAGTATTAGGACTTACTTTTGCGATCTTGCTCGTTTTGGTTATTCTTTGGTGGAAGGGCTGTTTGAGATTCGAAGGCACAATTCATCAAGGTACTACTGTATTTACCCGGTACAGTCATGCTTATGCTTTTAAAGCAGTTTCTATATTGACTGTGTTTCGTAAAACAATAAGCTTATAAGCTAGCTATAAGCTAGCTGATAGGTTGTAAGAGATTTTCGAGCTTATACCTTATAGCTTATGAAAAGGTAGCTTATATGATATAACTGTTTGGTATAAGTAGTTGATAAGCTAGCTGAAATAAAAAAACTTCAACGAGTTTATTTGAATTGTAGTATTTTTTGTTAAAACTCGTTTATGAATACGGTAATTTATTTTTATCATTGGTTTTTTAAATTGTAGTATTTTTTGTTAAAACTCGTTTATGAATAATTTATTTATAATTTTAATTTGAATGTTATATTTAAAAAAATAAAATTGTGCACCAAATTAAACATTAGTTTTCAAGAAATTTGGCCCAAAACATTTTAGATATTAGATAGATGTTTTTTTACCAATCATAGGGAAATATGTTATAAAATTAACTTTACTAAAAGTTGTTTATAACTGCCTCCTGTGCCATTATCTCGTACGGGATTTTGATAGCTCTGTTCACTCTGCGCCGCGCTTGTAATTTTTTTTTTTTTTTTGGAAATTCAAAACACACTCTGGACACACACTCAACGGGTAGCGTTACCTGCAAAGAGCTCTATTGCGACAAGAAGGTATGAGATAGCATTGTCCTTCTCAAACATACACATAGACACACACTACACACACCGTTTTTCATCATACCTTTGAGAGTGAGTTATTTTTTTTCAATTTTTTTTTTTGAAATACACACTTACGAACACGATTCACATTTTTTTATTACATTTCTTTTGTTGTTCTAAAAATACGAACAACTATTTTTTTTTAACATTTATTTTTATCTAAAAACATGAACACCTTTTTTTTTCTTTTTTGAACATTTTTTTTTTTTCTAAAAACCCGAACATTGCTTCACTGTTTTTTGTATTGTTCTAAAACTGGAACTTTATTTTGCAGAATGGACTTCACGTGGAGAACCAGTGGTCATCTCCCACCTCCTCGGGATCAAGGACGGGGATGTAAATTTTTAAATGAGTTTTCTTAGTTATTAATTATTTCTTTCTAATTAATTATTATTATTATTATTATTATTATTATTATTATTTTCTCAGTTTACTGTGAATTGATAGTCTCAATCTATTATATAGAATATAAACTAGGAGGGTGATGATTATCGTAGAGTTTCCTTAACAAATGCATTAGATGTACTGAGAAGATGGCGGAAGGGGAAAGATCGTAATACGACATTTGCAGAGTGGTTAGGGGAGGTTGGAATTGCCTTCGAGGAAAATTACCCTAAGGATATTGCGAGTCAAAACATCAG